TCAGTATTGTAACAAATTACTACAAATGGGCTGACCTAAAACAACAGAAATTTATTCTCTCACAATTCTGGAGTCCAGACGTCCAAAATAAAGATATTTGTTGGCTTTTATTTTGTTTTAGATTTGAAAAACTTAGATATTTTAATCAATTGAAATATCTGAATCTTACTCAGATCCTGAGTCAAACAAACACTTAAAATCAGTAATATATGAGATAGTTACATAAATGTGAACAATAAATGAATACTTAAGAATATTGAGAATATCTTGTTAAGTTTTAAACTGTAATAATAGTATTAGGTTAATGATTTTTACAAAAAAGAGTTTCTGTCTTTAAGAGATAGGTAAGTAAAATGCTTGAAAGTGGATTAATAGGATGTCTGGAATTTACTTGAAAAGCGTGTGTGTGTGTGTGTGTGTGTGTGTGTGTGTGTGTGTGTGAGAGAGAGAGAGAGAGAGAGAGAGAGAGAGAGAGAGAGAGAGAGAATGAGTGGAAGGATGGATTAAATAAGATTGGCCTTGATATTGTTACTGCCTGATAATAATGATGTGTAGGTTCATTACATTATTTTCTACACTTTGGTATATATTTGAAATTTCTGTAGCAGAGAGTTAAGGAAATAGTTACTGTTTCAAAGTAAACTGATATAATTATATCCCTTGTAAATGGATGTCTATGTGTAAATAAGGTACTTTTTTTTTTTTAAGTATAGGTCTCTTTTTATTAAGGTGAGATCTCTTGGGACCAATGTTTCATGAATAGAGTTGCCACATAAAATATAAAACTCGGTTAATTTGATATTTGAGATAAGGAATGTCTAGTATAAGACTCGGTTAATTTGTATTTCAGATAAACGATGTCTAGTATTTTAGAATAAGTGCATCACAACTATTGCACTGGACACACTAATACTAAAAATTTTGTTTTTGTTTATCTGAAATTTTAATTTTACTGGGGCATTCTGTTTTATTTTTTTTTTTTTTACTTTAAGTTCTGGGATACATGTACAGAATGTGCAAGTTTGTTGCATAGGTATATGTGTGCCATGGTGGTTTGCTGCACCTATCAACCCGGCACCAGGTTTTTAGCTCCACATGCATTAGCTATTTGTCCTGATGATCTCCCTCCCCTCACCCTCACTTCTGACAGGCTCCAGTGTGTGTTGTTTCTTTCCCTGTCTTTATGTTTTCTCATGTTTCAACTCCCACTTATGACTGAGAACATACGGTGTTTGGTTTTGTTCCTGTTTTAATTTTCTGACATGATGGCTTTCAGCTTCATCCATGTCCCTGTGAAAGACATTATCTCATTCCTTTTTATGGCTGCATAGTATTCCATGGTGTATATGTACCACATTTTCTTTATCCACCAGTCTATCACTGATGGGCATTTGGGTTGGTTCCATGTCTTTGCTATTGTGACTAGTGCTGCGATAAACATACCTGTGCATGTATCTTTATAATAGAATGATTTATATACCCAATAGTGGGATTGCTGGGTCAAATGGTATTCTGATTCTAGATCCTTGAGGAATCACTGCACTGTCTTCCAAAATGGTTGAACAAAAGCTAAAATTGACAAATGGGACATAATTAAACTAAAGAGTTTCTGTACAGCAAATGAAACTATCATCAGAGTTAGCAGGCAACCTACAGAATGGGAGAACATTTTTGCACAACCTGCAGAATGGGAGAACATTTTTGCAATCTACCTATCTGACAAGGGTCCAATATTGAGAATTTACAAGGAGCTTAAACAAATTTACAAGAAAAAGAAAACCCATCAAAAAGTGGGCAAAGTATATGAGCAGACACTTTTCAAAAGAACACATTTATGCGGCCAACAAACATGGAAAAAAGCTCAACATTACTGATCATTAGAGAAATGCAAATCAAAACCACAATTAGATACCATCTCATGCCAGTTAGAATGACAATTATTAAAAAGCCAAAAAACAACAGATGCTGGTGAGGCTGTGGAGAAATAGGAATACTTTTATACTGCTGGTGGGAATGTAAAGTAGTTCGACTTTTCATTTTATTTAAGTTTTCTTTGCCGTACAGAAACTCAATGGTTTGACATAGTCCCATTTATTTATTTTTGCTTTAAGAAAGTTTTTTCCTTTGCTTTTGGTGTTCTATAAAAAAAAAAATTCCTTGTCAAGGCCAATTTCAAAGAGCTTCTTCCCTATTTTTTCTTCTAGGAGTTCTATAGCTTCAAGTCTTACATTTAAGTTTTTAATGCATTTTCAGTTGATTTTTGTATGTGCTGTAGGATATGTTCAGTTTATTCTTTTGCAGGTGGATGTCCCGTTGTCCAAACACATTTTTTTTGAGACAGAGTCTCATTCCATCACCCAAGCTATGGTGCGGTGGCATGATCTTGGCTCACTACAACCTGTACTTCCTGAGTTCAAGTGATTCTCCATGCCTCAGTCCTTCTGTGTAGCTGCAATTACAGGCATGTGCCACCACACCCAGCTAAGTTTTGTACTTTAGTAGAGACAGGGTTTTGCCATGTTGACCAGGCTGGTCTCAAACTCCTGGCCTCAAGTGATCCACCCACCTTGGCCTTCTAAAGTTCTGGGATTATAGGCAGGAGCCACCACACCCAGCCTAAGCACAAAAGAGACTGTGCTTTTTCCATTGTGTATTCTGGGCACCTTTGTCAAATATTAGTTGGCCAGGTATACGTTTTTAAAAAAAATCTGGGCTCTCAATTCTGTTCCATTGGTCTATGTGTCTGTTTTTATGCCAGTATCATACGGCTTTCGTGACTATAGCTTTATAGTATAATTTGAAATCAGAAAGTGTGATGCCTCCAATTTTAAGGTTGCTTTGGCACAGGGTCCTTTGTGGTTCCATAAAAATTTTAATATTAGTTTTTCTATTTCTGTGAAAAATGCTGTTGGACGTAAACTAGTGATTTCCTTGCATTTGTAGATCACTTTGAGAAGTATAGACATTTTAATAGTATGAATTCTTTCAATCCATGAACACAGTATATCTTTCTATTTATTTTTGTTTTCTTCGGTTTCATCAATGTTTTATAGTTTTCAGTGTACAGATGTTTAACCTACTTGGTTACTTTTATTCGTGTGTGTGTGTGTGTGTGTGTGTGTGTGTGTGTGTGTATAATATATATATGTATATATGTATATATATTTGTCAAACGAATATATTTATGTATATATATTTGCCAACTAATATATATATATATATATGTATACATATATATTATACACACACACACACCCACAAGTATATATACGTACACACATATGGAGTCTCACTCAGGCTGGAGATCTTGGCTCACTGCAACCTCCACCTCCTGGGTTCAAGTGATTCTCCGGCCTCAGCCTCCCGAGTAGTTAGGATTACAGGCACATGCCACTATGCCGAGTTAGTTTTTGCATTTTTAGTAGAGACAGGGTTTCACCATGTTGGCCAGGCTGGTCTCAAACTCCTGACCCCAAGTGATCCCCCTCCTCAGCCTCCCAAAGAGCTGGGATTACAGGCATGAGCCACTGTGCCCAGCTGTTTTACGTATTTTTGATTCTATTGTAAATAAGATTGTTTTCTGGATTTCCTTTTTGATTATTTTATTGTTAGCATAAAGAAATGCTACTAGTTTTCATATGTTGATTTTTGTAACCTGCAACTTTACTGAAGTAATTTATTAATTTTAAGAGTTCTTTGGTGGAGTCTTTAGGTTCTTCTATACATGGGATCACTTGGTCCCATGGAAACAGTTTTTTAGCTTTTACATTTAGGCCTTTGATCCATTTTGAATTAATGTTTGTATATGATAAAAGGTAAGAATCTGATTTCATTCATTTGCATGGGGTAATACCATTTTCCTAGCACCATTTGTTGAAAGGACTGTCCTATCACCATTAAATGGTCCCAGCACTGTTGTTACAAATAATTTGATCATATATGACAAGATTTATTTCTGGGTTCTCTATTCCATTCCATTGTTCTATATGTCTATCTTTATTCCAGTTCCACGGGTTTTGATTACTGTGGTTTTGTGATAAGTTTTGAAATCAGAAAATACAAATCCTCCAACTTTGTTCTTTGTTTTCAAGTTTGTTTAGGGCTTTTCCGATCCCTTGAGCAAAGTCCATATTAATTTTAGGATGGATTTTTCCATTTCTGCAGAATACTTCATTGGGATTTTGGGTTTTTCTTGAGACAGGGTTTCAGTCTGTCACCCAGGCTGGAGTGCAGTAGCCCAATCACAGTTCACTGCTGCCTCAACCTCCCAGGCTCAGGCAGTCCTCCCACTTCAGCCTCACTAGTAGCTGAGACTACAGGCATGCACCATCATGGCTGCTAATTTTTGTATTTTTGGTAGAGACAGGATTTTGCCATCTTGCTGAAGCTAGTCTCAGACACCTAGGCTAATGCGATCTGCCCGCCTCAGCCCCCACAAAGTGCTGGGATTACAGGTGTAAGCCACCACACCTGGCCTGGCATTTTAATAGGGATTAATATCTGTAAATTTGTAGATCACTTTGGGAATATCAACATGTCAACAATATTTAGTCTTCCAACCTGTGAACTGTTTACATTTTTAAATAGAATTTACTAGTTTATTGTTTGTGTAATCAAACATAAACAAATTATTAAAAAGAGGTTTTGGCAGAGGGACTAGTAAATTTCTCATTCCTTTTCATGTAACTTGACTGGATCTCAGTAACCAATTTTTAAAGCTTGCAGTCAGTTCTGGGGAAAAACATATATTAGATATTAGGAAAGAAATGATGATCTGACTATAGGTGTTAATAGAAAATGTTTATGGCTTAGTAATCTGAAACTAAATTAAATCATGTAATATTGACCAATTAAACTTATTTAGACATTAAATAGCATTACCTGAACTCAGATATTCTTTTATCTGGCTTATTTTGCTCACAGTGAAATAAACTTTAGTCCCATTGATCAATAACCAGTTTTTCTATTCACATTGCTTAAAATTGTTTCTCATTGTACAGAGAATCTGTTGGGTTTCATTTCCTGGATGTCATTCGTGAACGTTGTAACTCATCAGAAAATACTGGAAAAGCTCACCTATTCTATATTGACATGCTTTTACAAAGGAAGGAAGAACAGCTTGCCAAGGAGAAGATTGAAGAAATAATTTTAGGTTAGTAGCATTTCTGCATGTGCTTTAGAAAGGTATTAATTTGTGTGTAATTCTTAGATGGTGGAGTAGTAGCAAAATCCTCAAGTCAACAGATTTCTTTCACTTCCTTTTTTCTTACCTCCCTACTGGTCTTTTAACAGTAACACCTCACCTGTCCACATCCCAAAAATTGGGCACGTGGAACGAGAAACTAAGCAAAAATAAGAAAACATCATTGAAAACAGAAAAACTTCTGAGCTTAAAGCTAGCATGTAGTGGAACATTGTGAAGTTACAAGCCTAATTTCATATCTCTAGTTTGATCTCAAATAAGCTGCGTAGTTTTGGACAAGTCAATTTCTCTGGACCTTGATTTTTTTCAACTATAAAATAATGATCGTGAACAAAACTCCTGGTTTTCAACTTCTTTTCAGCAGCAGGATCCTCTTGTGATGCAATCTTATATGCCCCACCCTGAAAGAAATGGATTAGCTTTTCTGGTTAACGCAGAGATGTAGAGCCAAATCTACTCAGCATTCCCCTAATCCTCTGCCTCCCTGCAGAACTTCTGTACCCTGAAGAACACAGATAGTATGATCCCTTTCCTAGAAAATTTTCTTAAACACCTCGTCCTCCCAACTAAGTGCATGTAGAGATGTAATTGGAGTGATAGTCCCTGTTAACTCTGTGACTTATTCTGTATGGTGGCATTTTAGGTGATGTGTTGCTTTCTTCTAAATACTCTACCACATTTTTTGAATTATTTATTTATTTATTTATTTATTTATTTTTATTACATTTTACGTTGGGGGGTACATGTGAAGAACATGCAAGATTGTTGCATGGGTACACACATGGCAGTGTGATTTGCTGCCTTCCTCCCCATCACCTATATCTAGCATTTCTCCCCATGCTATCTCTCCCCAACTCCTACGCCACACTGTCCCTCCTCTATTTCCCCCCAACAGACCTCAGTGTGTGATGCTCCCCTCCCTGTGTCCATGTGTTCTCATTGTTCAACAGCCGCCTATGAGTAAGAACATGCGGTGTTTGATTTTCTGCTCTTGTGTCAGTTTGCTGAGAGTGATGGTTTCCAGGTTCATCCATGTCCCTACAAAGGACATGAACTCATCGTTTTTGATGGCTGCATAATATTCCATGGTGTATATGTGCCATATTTTCCGTGGCCAGTCTATCATCGATGGGCATTTTGGTTGGTTCCAGGTCTTTGCTATTGTAAACTGTGCTGCAATGAACATTCGTCTGCATGTGTCCTTTTAGTAGAACAGTTTATAATCCTTTGAATGTATACCCAGTAATGGGATTGCTGGGTCAAATGGAATTTCTATTTCTAGGTCCTTGAGGAATTGCCACACTGTCTTCCACAATGGTTGAACTAATTTACACTCCCACAAACAATATAGAAGTTTTCCTGTTTCTCCATATCCTCTCCAGCATCTCTTGTCTCTAGATTTTTTAATGATCACCATTCGAACTGGCGTGAGATGGTATCTCAATGTAGTTTTGATTTGCGTTTCTGTACTGACCAGTGATTATGAGCATTTTTTCATATGTCTGTTGGCCTCATGTATGTCTTTTTTTGTAAAGTGTCTTTTCATACCCTTCGCTCACTTTTGAATGGGCTTTTTTTGTTTTTGTTGTTGTAAATCTGTTGTAGTTCTTTGTATATTCTAGATATAAGCCCTTTGTCAGATGGGTAGACTGTAAAAAATTGTTCTCAAATCTGTTGGTGTTCGATTCACTCTAATGACTGTTTCTTTTGCTGTGCAGAAGCTGTGGAGTTTGATTAGATCTATTTTGTCTATTTTGGCTTTTGTTGCCAGTGCTTTTGGTGTTTGGTCATGAAGTCCTTGCCTACGGCTATGTCCTGAATGGTTTTGCCTAGATTTTCTTCTCGAGTTTTTATGGTGTTAGGTCTTATGGTTAAGTCTTTAATCCATCTGGAGTTAATTTTAGTGTAAGGTGTCAGGAAGGGGTCCAGTTTGTGCTTTCTACACATGGCTAGCCAGTTTTCCCAACACCATTTATTAAACAGGGACTCCTTTCCCCATTGCTTGTTTTTGTCAGGTTTGTCAAAGATCAGACAGTTGTAGATGTGTTGTGTTGCCTCCGAGGCCTCTGTTCTGCCCCATTGGTCAATATCTCTGTTTTGGTACAAATACCATGCTGTTTTGATTACTGTAGCCTTGTAGTATATTTTGAAGTCCCGTAGTGTGATTCCTCCCACTTTGTTCTTTTTGCTTAGAATTGACTTGGGTAAGCAGGCTCTCTTTTGGTTCCATATGAAGTTTAAGGTGGTTTTTTCCAGATCTGTGAAAAAGGCCATTTGTAGCTTCATTATAGCATTGAATCTGTAAATTACTTTGGACAGTATGGCCATTTTCATGATACTGATTATTCCTAACCATCAACATGGAATGTTTCTCCATCTGTTTGTGTCCTCTCTTATTTTGTTGAGCAGTGGCTTGTGGTTCTCCTTGAAGAGGTCCTTTACGTTCTTTATTAGTTGTATTCCTAGGTATTTTATTCTCTTTCTAGCAATTGTGAATGGCAGTTCGTTCTTGATTTGGCTCTCTTGAAGTCTGTTACTGGTGTATAGGAATGCTTGTGATTTTTGCACATTGATTTTGTATCCTGAGACTTTGCTGAAGTTGTTTATCAGTTTCAGGAGATTTTGGGCTGAGAGGATGGGGTCTTCCAGATATACAATCATGTCATCTGCAAATAGAGACAATTTGATTTCCTCCTTTCCAATTTGGATACCGTTTATTTCTTTTTCTTGCCTGATTGCTCGGGCTAGAACTTCCAGTACTATATTGAATATGAGTGGTGAGAGAGGGCATCCTTGTTTAGTGCCAGATTTCAAAGGGAATGCTTCCAGTTTTTGCCCATTCAGTATGATATTGGCTGTTGGTTTGTCGTAAATAGCTTTTATTGTTTTGAGATACGTTCCCTCAATACCTAGTTTATTGAGGGTTTTTAGCATAAAGAGCTGTTGAATTTTGTCAAGGCCTTCTCTGCATCTATTGAGATAATCATGTGGTTTTTGTCTTTTGTTCTGTTTATGTGGTGAATTACGTTTATGGACTTGCGTATGTTGAACCAGCCTTGCATCCCTGGGATGAATCCTACTTGATCATGGTGGATGAGCTTTTTGATATGCTGTTGGAATCGGTTTGCCAGTATTTTATTGAAGATTTTTGCATCTATGTTTGTCATGGATATTGGCCTGAAATTTTATTTTCTTGTTGAGTCTCTGCCGAGTTTTGGTATCAGGATGATGCTTGTCTCATAAGATGATTTGGGAAGGATTCTCTCTTTTTCGATTGTCTGGAATAGTTTCAGAAGGAATGGTATCAGCTTCTCTTTGAATGTCTGGTAGAATTTGGCTGTGAACCCATCTAGACCTGGGCTTTTTTTTTGGGTGGTATGCTCTTTATTGCTGCCTCGACTTCAGACCTTGTTATTGGTCTATTCAGGGTTTCGGCTTCTTCCGGGTTTAGGCTTGGGAGGATGCAGGTGTCCAGGAATTTATCCATTTCTTCCAGGTTTACTAGTTTATGTGCATAGAGTTGTTTGTGATAATCTCTGATGATGGTTTGGATTTCTGTGGAATCTGTGGTGATATCCCCTTTATCATTTTTTATTGCATCAATTTGGTTATTCTCTCTTTTCTTTTTTATTAATCTGGCTAGTGGTCTGTCTATTTTGTTGATCTTTTCGAAAGACCAGCTCCTGGATTTCTTGATTTTTTGAAGAGTTTTTTGTGTCTCTATTTCCTTCAGTTCTGCTCTGATCTTAGTGATTTCCTGTCTTCTGCTAGGTTTTGAGTTTTTTTGATCTTGCTCCTCTAGCTCTTTCAATTTTGATGATAGGGTATCAATTTTAGATCTCTCCTTTCTTCTCATGTGGGCACTCATTGCTATATATTTTCCTCTAGAGACTGCTTTAAATGTGTCCCAGAGATTCTGGTATGTTGTGTCTTCATTCTCCTTGGTTTCGAAGAACATCTTTATTTCTGCCTTCATTTCATTGTTTATCCAGTCAACATTCAAGAGCAAGTTGTTCAGTTTCCATGAAGCTGTGCGGTTGTGAGTTAGTTTCTGCATTCTGAGTTCTAACTCGATTGCACTGTGGTCTGAGAGACTGTTATGATTTCCGTTCTTTTGCATTTGCTGAGGAGTGATTTATTGCCAATTATGTGGTCAATTTTAGAGTAGGTGTGATGTGGTGCTGAGAGGAATGTATATTCTGTGGATTTGGGGTGGAGAGTTCTGTAAATGTCTATTAGGTATGCTTGTTCCAGGTCTGAGTTCAGGTCCTGGATATCCTTGTTGATTTTCTGTCTGGTTGATCTGTCTAATATTGACAATGGGGTGTTAAAGTCTCCCACTATTATTGTGTGGGAGTCTAAGTCTCTTTGTAAGTCATTAAGAACTTGCCTTATGCATCTGGGTGCTCCTGTATTGGGTGCGTATATATTTAGGATCGTTAGCTCTTCTTGTTGCAGTGATCCTTTTACCATTATGTAATGTCCTTCTTTGTCTCTTTTGATCTTTGTTGGTTTAAAGTCTATTTTATCAGAGATGAGAATTGCAACTCCTGCTTTTTTTTGCTTTCCTTATGCTTGGTAAATCTTCCTCCATCCCTTTATTTTGAGCCTTTTTGTATCCTTGCATGTCAGAGGGGTTTCCTGGATACAGCACACCGAGGGGTTTTGGCTTTTTATCCGGTTTGCCAGTCTGTGTCTTTTTTTTTTTGGCATTTAGTCCACTTACATTTAGGGTTAATATTGTTATGTGTGAATTTGATCCTGCCATTTTGATGGTAGTTGGCTGTTTTGCCCATTAGTTGATGCAGTTTCTTCATTGTGTTGATTCTCTTTACCATTTGGTATGTTTTTGGAGTGGCTGGTACTGGTTGTTCCTTTCTATATTTAGTGCCTCTTTCAGGAGCTCTTGTAAGGCAGGCCTGATGGTGACGAAATCTCTGAGTACTTGGTTGTTCACAAAGGATTTTATATTTTCTTCACTTATGAAGCTTAGTTTGGCCGGATATGAATTTCTGGGTTGAAAGTTCTTTTCTTTAACGATGTTGAATATTGGCCCCCAGCCTCTTCTGGCTTGTAGGGTTTCTGCTGAGAGATCTGCTGTGAGTCTGATTGGCTTCCCTTTGTGGGTAACCTGACCTTTCTCTCTGGCTGCCCTTAGCATTTACTCCTTCATTTCAACCCTGGTGAATCTGATGATTATGTGCCTTGGGGTTGCTCTTCTTGAGGAATATCTTTGTCGTTTTCTCTGTATTTCCTGGACTTGAGTATTGGCCTGCCTTGCTAGGATGGGGAAGTTTTCCTGGATGATATCCTGAAGAGTATTTTCCAGCTTGGATTCATTCTCTTCGTCACATTCAGGTACACCTATCAAACGTAGATTAGGTCTTTTGACATAGTCCCACATTTCTTGGAGACTTTGTTCATTCCTTTTTACTCTTTTTTCTCTAATCTTGCCTTCTCGTTTTATTTTATTGAGTTGATCTTCGACCTCTGATGTCCTTTCTTCTCCTCGGTCAGTTCGACTGTTGAAATTTGTGTATGTTTTGCTAAGTTCTCGTGTTGTGTTTTTCAGCTCCATCAATTCACTTATATTCCTCTCTAAGTTGTTTATTCTCGTTAGGATGTCGTCATATCTTTTTTCAAGGTTCTTAGTTTCTTTGCATTGGGTTAGAACATGTTCTTTTAAATCACAGAAGTTTTCTATTACCCACCTTCTGAAGTCTGATTCTTTCATTTCATCACACTAATTCTCCATCCCGCCATGTTCCCTTGCTGGTAAGGAGTTGTGATCCCTTGTAGGAGGAGAGGTGTTCTGGTTTTGGGTGTTTTCATCCTTTTTGTGCTGGTTTCTTCCCATCTTTGTGGATTTATCCACCTGTTGTCTTTGTAGTTGTCTACTTTCAGATTGGGTCTCTGAGTGGATGTCCAGTTTGTTGATGATGAAGTTATTTCTTTCTGTTTCTTAGTTTTCCTTCTAACACTCTGGACCCTCTGCTATTGGACTGCTGAGGTCCACTCCAGGTCCTGCTTGCCTCGGGATCACCTGCAGTGGCTCCAGAACAGTAAGGGTTGTTACCAGTTTCTTCTTTTGCTATCTTTGTCACCCAAGGATACCCGTCAGATGTCAGTCTGAGCTCTCCTTTATGGGGTGACTCTTTAGATATACGGGGGTCAGGGAGATGCTTGAGGAGACAGTCTGTCCTTTATAGGAGCTCAAGTGCTGAGCTGTGAGCTCTGTTGTTCATTCAGAGCTGCTGGGCAGATACGTTTAAGTCTGCTGCAGCAGAACTCATAACGCTGCCCCCTCTTTTGTTTTTTTTCCCAGGTGTTCTGTCCCGGGGAGTTAGGGCTTTATTTATGAGTTTCTGTTGTGCTACTGGCTTTTTTCAGGGCTGCCCTGCCCAGCGAGGAGTTAGCCTAGTGACTGTCTGCCTGTAGAGGCTTTGCTGAGCTGCTGTGGGCTCTGCCCAGCTGTCGTGTGAACTTCCCTGCAGTCCTGTTTATACGGGTGTAGTTATGACTGCCTCGGCAATGGTGGCCCACCTGTATAATGGTGGACTCTCTCTGTAATGGTGGGCTGTCTCAGCAATGGCAAACTACCTCCATAGTGGCTGCCTCAGTAATGGTGGATGCCCCTCCCACACAGAGCTGGACCATCCCAGGTTCAGCTGTAGTTGCTGTGAAACTCTCAATCCATAGTGTTTTCAGTTGCTGTTTTTTTGTGGGGGTGGGACAGCTGAATCTTATCACCTGGCTCCCTGTCTCAGAGCCCCCTTTTTTTTTAGTTCAATGGTTGACTCTGTCTCCCAGGTGTTCCAGTCACCTGTTGAAAAGGTGCCAGGATATGTGTGATTTCCCATGCAGCGACCCACTCCGCTGGCTGAAACAGCTGTGCTGAGATTCATTTCATGGCACTTTTTTGCCCGGGAATCTCCTGGCCTGGCTCCCTGTTTCAGTCCCCTTTTTAATCAGAGGAATGGGCGATTCTGCCTTCCTGGAGCTCCAGTTGCCATCTAAAACTATGCCCGGACTCATGTGTTTTGTACGGAGAACTTCCACGCCGGCCAAACCTGCCTCGCTTGCGATCTGTGGGGCTCCTCTGCCTCTGAATCTCCTGGTCTGTGGGCAATAAAAATTTTTCTGGACATGTGGTGTCCACTAACCCTCCACACTTTAACTGGGAGCTGCAATCCTGAGCTGCTCCTAATCGGCCATCTTGGATCCCTCCCTGTCTTTGAATTTTTATAAGCATGAATAATGTTTTTATAAAGACAAAGTCATTAATTTTTTTAAAGGAAGTTATCGGACTAGATGATCTCTAAGAACCATATTTTACTGATAATACCCTCCCTGTAGACATTTACCAGTTATTTTGATACTCAGTTTTGATAAACTTCTATGTCTCGTTTTCCTACACTTAGCATTTTAATGGGAACATTTGTAAATAGAGACAAGTTTTAAAGGGAGGTATACAGATAGCCTGACCATAGGGAGGAAGAAAAGTCTACCAACTTTATAAAACAGGTTCAACGTTTTTTTTTTTGTTGAAATAGTCTTGCTCTGCCGCCCAGGCTAGAGTGCAGTGGTGCTGTATTGGCTCACTGTAACCTCTGCCTCCCAGGTTCAAGCAGTTCTCCTGCCTCAGCCTCCTGAGTAGCTGGGATTATAGGCGCTTGCCACCACACCTGGCTAATTTTTTTATTTTTAGTAGAGATGGTGTTTCACCATGTTGGCCAGGCTGATCTCAAACTCCTGACCTTGTGATCCACCCACCTCAGCCTCCCCAAGTGCTGGGATTATAAGGGTGAGCCACTGCACCTGGCCTCAAATTTTTCTAATACAGCAATCTGTACTGTATGAAACTCCCAAAGGTATTACTGTGATATATTAATAGTACCATAAAATTTAAAAATTGTTAATATTGACCTTGAGTGGTCAAGAAAAAGTTAAATTGTACTTACAAAAAGTAGGAAACTTGTTTACTTTTTAGAAAATTTAAGAACTTTCATGAAAAGATTTACTTTTTTAATTCAAAATTGATTTTTATTTTAAGAAAGTAAACTGCCCGTTAACCAGAAAACTTTATTATACAGAATAACCCATTTTCCTAAAATTCCACTCAGACTAAGTTTTATCGTGAAACTAATTTACACTTTCAAAGTATTACAATATTTTAAGTAGATACATTTAGTAGCTGTTTACTCTCATGTGAGTATTTTTAAGTAAGTCGTGGAACAAACTACATTTGCTGACTGGGCTAGAGCGTCAGAGATTCGTAATGTTCTATTCAAGAGTTTTGTGGAAATTGATAGTTTATGCCAAAGGGCAGAAGAGGAGGTACAGAATTCTATTACAGTTTAGACTTTACCTTAATGTGCTTATGTATTTGAACTCTGTGAACGTCTAGACCAGAAACAATCAACACGAGTTAAGATTTAAAGCAATAAAGTTTGTGTGTAAGCACGGTCTTAAAGCATTTTGCAAAGGCTTTAAGGTATAATTGGCCTTTCTTGTGAACTTGATCTGATCTATTTAGTACATAATAGTATAAACACTTCTTATTAATGATTTCTGGCATTGCTGTCTGGTCATTCACAATAACCTTATTAAGGCACCAGTTGATGATCTAATTTGTAATGTGAAAAATAAGTTAAAAAGATACTAGGCTGGAAAACTATCATAGATTGATAGGAGAATTACTGTGATTCTAGCAAACTCTAATTGCATTATACTATCAATTATGTTAGTAAACCTAAAATTGATGGTGAAAACCTGTCTGAATTTTTTTTTTTTTGTAGCCATTACTAACAGATTATAGGTTCCGGGTATGGTTACCACTCTTTACTTAATGTAATAGATCTAGATTCTTGTTTTCAGAGCTTGTTTTTTTCTTTTTCAGCTCACCATACAGGAAGACAACTGACAGCAGGATTAATGATCTGGTTACACAACATTCTGTGGAGAAAAGCTGCCAGTAGTTTTGAGGTTTGTGAATAATCTCTTTTTCATTACTTCCATTATTTCTCCACTGCAACAAAAAATAAGGCATTCACTATAAAAATAAAAGAGCATCAAACACTGTAATAATCTCTATTTAGATACCATATATTTATTAAATATTCACAATGTAGAGTGTTAATGATCATTGTACAAGAGTTTATTTAAAAATAATAAGACATGATTACTCTCCATTGAGAGCTTACAGTGTAAGGAAATGTCATCGCTGATATTAAGGTATAGGAATGTAATTTTTTTTAACATGAGAGTTGAGGAAGAGTTTTATTCACTTTAGAAAGTTACGGTGGCCAGGCGCAGTGGCTCACACCTAAAATCCCAGCACTTTGGGAGGCCGATGCGGGTGGATCACAAGGTCAAGAGATCGAGACCATCTTGGTCAACAAGGTGAAACCCCGTCTCTACTAAAAATACAAAAATTAGCCGGGCGTGGTGGTGCACGCCTGTAGTCTCAGCTACTCAGGAGGCTGAGGCAGGAGAATTGCTTGAACCCAGGAGGCAGAGGTTGCAGTGAGCCGAGATCGTGCCATTGCACTCCAGCCTGGGTAACAACAGCGAAATTCCGTCTCAAAAAAAAAAAAAAAAAAAAAAAAAAGCTATGGTGTAATAAAGAAATGGAAATGGAAAAAAATCTGCAAGACAGTTCAGGTTTCCTATAAGCTTAAAGATAATTTTTTTTTTAAAAGCAAAGAACAATCATTTGTAATTTTGGTATATTTCCTTCTAATCTTTGTGTATTATATACATTTGTGTGCCTTTGTGTGTAAATCAAATGGGATGTACCATTTAAAAAAAAAAGTTGTGGTATGCTTCCATTTGCAATTAATATGTAGTCACAGGGACTGTTTTATGTCCCTGCTTTAACAATAAGTCTCTCTCCACAAAAGACAAGACAAAATACATGAAAAGAAAAAAAAGGCTTTTATAACAGTGAACATCAGGCAATGAAGGAGAATGATTCCTGGGAGATAAGAAATAAAGTGAGCATTGGCTGGGTGCCGTGGCTCATGCCTGTAATCCCAACACTTTGGGAGGCCGAGGCAGATGGATCACGAGGTCTGGAGATCGGGACCATCCTGGCCAAGATGGTGAAACCCCATCTCTACTAAAATAGAAAAAATTATCTGGACATCATGGCACATACCTGTAGCCCCAGCTACTCAGGAGGCTAAGGCAGGGAAATCACCTGAAACCGGGAGTTGGGGTGGCAGTGAGCCAAGATCGTGCCACTGCACTCCAGCCTTGCGACAGAGCAAGACTCCGTCTCAAAAAAAAAAAAAAAAAAAAAAAAAGAAAGAAAAGAAGAAAACAAAACAAAAGAATTAAAGTGAGCTTTACAGTTGCACAGCTTACTGCTTTGAGTTTCCAGCATATAGCCCAAGAAGAGGAGCTGAAGTAGAGCCTCGCAAGCATCCTGATTTGAGATGCAGCTGATTCTCAGGAGACCAAGGCACCCAGAATTTATAAGACAAAGTACTGGAGAGGACCACATAGCATAGATTAGGCATTGTAGAAGAAAAGATTGATAAACTTGAAGTCAGAGCAAAGAAGCTATTCAAAATTAAACACACAGAAAAAAAAAAAAACTTAAAAATCAAAAGAGCTTCAGTGAGATGAGGGACAACCCAGTGATCAGAGGGTCTTCTTCCAATATTTAGCAGAGTACTGATGAGGACATACATGAAGCAAAATTACCTCAAGCTAGGAGAATAACCATCTATAAATATTAGAGGGAACAGTGTCTGGCACTCACATGGGGCTGAGAATAAGGCCTGCTCTTATCACCCAGTGTGGAAAACTTCTAATTTATGGGGCATTGGGTAGAAAACTCAAAAGGGTCTGGTCTCCTAAGAGGGGAATGATTAGTCGTACACTAAGTCCTGCTCCAGAACTACCTAAAAAATTATAAAAGTATGGTGTGAAAGGATCAAATTGATCTCAAGGAACTTAACTGCTTCCCAGAGAAGAGTTGAAGAATATTTATGTGAATATAAAACTGTACAGCACCCAAAAGGATATCAAGAGTATTTATAAGAATATAAAACTGTACAGCACCCAACAGGATAAAGGTTACAATGTCTGGCATCCAAGAAAAAAATTACTGAGCATGCAAAGAGGCATGAAAACACAACCTATAATGAGAATAAGCAATCAATTGATACTGACCCAGAAGTGACACAGAAGTTAGCATTATCAGAGGACATCTCTTATAATTGTATTTCATTCATTCAAAAAGTTACGTTGAGGCATCGAAGATATATAAAGACCAAATCAAACTTCTAAAGATAAAAACTATGTTTAGGATGAAAAGTACAGTGGATAGTATTAACATCATATTAGACATTGTAGAAGAAAAGACTGATGAAGTTACAGCAAAGAAGCTATTCAAAATTAAATACACAGGGGAAAAACCTTAAAAAAATTAAAAGGGTTCAGTTAGGTGGGGGACAATTTTAGGTAGCTTAATATACAGGTAACTAGGACTCCCAAATGAGGATAGAGATAATAAATATTTCAAAAAATAAAACTTTCAAAACTTAATGAATACTCTAAATGCAGAAACAGAAAAATCTTAACAAACCCCAAACATAAGAAACACAAAATGACACCAACACACATAATTAAAGTGCTCATGGTAACTCATGTAAGAGAATGTCCTAAAATTAGCCAGATCAAAATGACACCCTACATGCAGAGGAATAAACTAAAGAGAACATCAGATTTCTTGTTGGAAGCAATGCAAGCAAGAACTCAGTGGAGCAACATCTTTAAAATAATGAAAGAAAACAAAAACTTGTCAGCCTAAATCTTTATCCAGCACAAATATTGTTTAAAATGAAAGTAGTTGGTACAAATGTAAAATAGTGTAGCCACTACGGAAAACAGCATGGCAGTTCCTCAAACAATTAAAAATATTATTACCATATGCTGCAGCATTTCACTTTTGCTCATATACCCATAAGAATTAAAAGGAAGATATTTGCATACCCATGTTTCTAGCAGCCAAAGTGTAGAAGTAACCCAAGTTCCATCAACAAATGAATGGATAAATAAAATCTGATATATTCAAACAATGGAATATTACTTAGCCTTAAAAAGCAAGGACTTCTGATACATGCTATAACATGGATGAGCCTTGAGGATATTATGCTAAGTGAAATAAGCCTGCCACAAAAAACGATACTGTATGATTCCACTTACATGAGGTACCTAGAGTAGTCAAATCCCTGGAGAAAGGAAATAGAATGGGCCAGATGCAGTGGCTGACTCCTGTAATCCCAGCATTTTGGGATACCAAGGTGGGTGGATCACCTGAGGTCAGGAGTTTTAGACCAGCCTGGCCAACATGGTGAAACCCCATCGTTAGTAAAAATAACAAAAATTAGCCGGGTGTGGTGATGCACACCTGTAGTCTCAGCTACTCAGGAGACTGAGGCAGGAGAATCACTTGAACCCAGGAGGCAGAGGTTGCAATGAGCCAAGATTTTGCCACTGCACTTTAGCCTGGGCAATGGAGAGAGAGAGAGACTCAAGTATTTAAAGAAAGAATAAAGAAATAAAGAAAGTAGAATGGTGGTTTCCAGGGTCTGGGAGGAGGAGAAAATGTGGAGTTGTTTAGTGAATATAGAGTTTCAGTTTTACTAGACAAAAAAGTTCTGGAGATTAGTTGCAGATTGGCCAATTTTATGTTATGTTTTTTTAACCATAATAAAAATACATTTTTTAAAAAAATGAAAGCAAATTAGCCTTCCAGACATTTAAAAGCTGATACAACTAATCACTCAAAGGTCTACATTACAAGGAAGTCCTCTGAACAAAAGGAAATTTATACCAGATGGAAATATCAATCAATACAAAAGAATTTAAAATATCAGAAATGGTAATTATATGAGCAACAGATAAGATTTTTTCTTATTATTACAATCTATTTAAAAGATAATTTACTGTTTAAACAAAAGTAATAACATTGTATTCTGTAAAAGTAAAATGCATGACAAGAATATATAGGTCAAGAAGAGAGAAATGGAAGTATACCATAAGTGAGGTGGTATAACATCACTTGAAGACAGACTATGATAAGTTAAACATATATACTATGTACCTTAAAACAATCATTAAAGTAGCAAACAGTTTTTTTTTCAAAAAATGAGATAAAATCAAACCATAAAAATATTTAAATAATCTAAAATAAGGCAGAAAAAGAGGAAAGAGGGATCAAAAAAGATCTCACAAATAGAAAACAAATATTTGTAGCAAGATGATAGATTTACATCTAAGCATGTGAAAAAAATCACATTAAGTGAAAATGACCTCAAGACCCCAGTGTAAAGGCAGAGATTGTCAAACTGCATAAAAAAGCAAGACTCAAGTTTATGTACTGCTTAAAAGAAATGTACTTTAAATATAAAGATACAAATTGGTTTTATGCAAAAGCATCAGAAAAATATAGAGAAACAAGATTATTCTAAAATTTATACATAAAACAATGGAATTAAAATAGCCAAGACATATTATTAGAAAGTCAAAAAACAGTAGCTGCTGGCAAGGTTGTAGAGAAAAGTGAACAGTTATACACTGTTTGTGGGAGTGCAAATTAGCTCAACCATTGTGGAAAGCAGGATGGCTATTTCTCAAAGAACTAAAAATAGAACTACCATTCAACCCAGCAATCCCATTACTGGATATATACCCAGAGAAAAATAAAGCATTCTATCATAAAGATACATGCACATAAATGTTCATTGCAGGACTATTCACAATAGCAAAGACATGGACTCAACCTAAACGTCCATCATTGACAGACTGGATAAAGAAAATATGGTACATATACCCCATAGAATATTATGCATCCATAAAAAAGAAATATCATGTATTTTGCAGGAACATGGGTGGAGGCGGAAGCTATCATTCTGAGGAAACACAGGATCAAAAAGCCAAATAACATATGTTTTCACTTATAAGTGGGAGCTAAATGATGAGAACTTATGAACACAAAGAAGGAAACAACAGACATTGGTGTCTACTTGAGTGGGGAGGGTGGAAGGAGGGAGAGAAGCAGAAAAGATAACTATTGGGTACTGGGCTTAATACCTGGGTGTTGTAATAATATGTGCAACAAACCCCTGTGACATGGGTTTTTCTATGTAACAAACCTTCACATGTACCCCTAAACCTAAAATTAAAAGAAAGAAAATAGTCAATACAGTCCTGAGAGAGAATAGAACAGAATCACCCTATTCAATTGCAAGTCTTTTTATATAGCTACAGTACTCTAGACTGTGTGGTATCATCAGAGATATAGAACCATAGATCAATGGAACAGAATGGAGAACCAAAAAATAATTCCACACAAACATACTCAACTGATTTTTGAGAAAGTACAAAAGTAATTCAATGGAAAAAGATGGTGTTTTTAACTAATGATGCTCGAGCATTTGGACATCCGTAGTAAAAGAAAAAAACATTAACCTTGATCTTAACTTCACACTTCATATAAAAATTAACTCAAATGAATTACAAAATTAGATGTAAAATGTGCAAGTATAAAACTTTTGTAAATATACATAGGAGAAAATCTTCAGGATCTAGACCAGGCAAAGAATTACTAGACTTGACTCAAAAACATGATGCAAGTAGGGTGCAATGGCACATACCTATAGTCCCGGCTACTTGGGAGGCTGAGGTAGAAGGATTGCTTGAGCCCAGGAGTTTAAGCCAGCCTGGACAACATAGCAAGACCTGTTTTCTAAAATAAATAAATAAATAAAAATTTAAAATATACGTAAAAATAAAAATTAATAAACTATTTCACGAAAATTAAAAGATTTTGCTCTGGGAAAGCTCCTATTCACTCTCAGGTCCTCACCTCCAAGACTGACAAAGAAAGAAGGAACAACAGTTGTGCCAGAAAGGGCCATGGCCATGTGCAGCCTAATCCCTGCATGAATTGTACCTGATACGTGACTAAAGAGGTCTATTAAGAAGTTTATCATTCAAAATATAGTAGATAGCCAAGTGTGGTGGCTCATGCCTGTAATCCCAGTGCTTTCAGAGGCTGAGGCGGGAGGATCGCTTGCGCCTAGGGGTTTGAGACCAACCTTGGCAATATAGGGAGACTACCTAAATAAAAAATAAAAAATTAAGCCTGGTCTGGTAGCATGCACCTGTAGTCCCAGCTGCTCAGGAGGCTGAGGCAGGAGGAGCCCTTGAGCCCAGGAGTATAAGGCTGCAGTGAGTTGTGATCATGCTACTTCACTCCAGCCTGGGTGACAGAGGAAGATCCTCTCCCAAAAACTAAAGGAAAACCACAAAACACAGTAGAGGCCACAGCTATCAGGGACATTTCTGAGGCCAGTGTCTTTGATGTCTATGTGCTTACCAAATGTTTGTGAAGCTACAGCACAGCATGAGTTTCACCATTCATCGCAAGGTAGAATCAATCTCATGAAGCCCATAAGGACCAAACATTCCAACCCTGATTTAGACCTGTGGGTGCTGCCCAATGACCTCCACAAAAGCCTATGTAAGGAGCTGAGTCCTTAAGGACTGAAGAAAAGCTATCCTCTGAAGAAAATAAAGTGAAAATTATACTTAAAAAAAAAAGAGATCTCGTTTAATGGATGAAAAAAGATACAGACTCGGAGAAAAAATTTCAAACCATGTATACAATAATGAACTAGTAGCTAAAACATAAAAAGAACTCTCTAAACTCAACATATAAAGAAAAACAATTCAAAAATTAGCAAATGATATGAATAGACATTTCACCAGAAAAGGATATGTGCATGACAATAAGCACACAAAAAAGATGACTTATGAGTCATTAGGAAAATGCAAATGAAAACTCCAAAGACATACCAATACATAATTCTTAGAGTAGCTGAAATGAAAAAAAATTAACCATTCCAAATGCTGATGAAGATTTTGAGGAACTGGAATTTCATGGTGGAAACATAAGATAGTACAAACCGTTTGGAAAATAGTTTGGCAGTTTTCTATAATGTTAAACTTGCCCCCGCTATGTGATCCAGTCATTTCAATCCTATGTATGTACTCAAAAGAAAAGGAATTATTTATCCATAGAAAAACTTGCATGTAAAAGCTAATAGCAGCTTTATTTATAATAGTTAAAAACTGGAAACAACCAAATGTCCATTGACAAGTTAGTGGGTAAACAAACTGGTATATTCTTCAATTAAATACTACTTAGCAATAAAAAGGAATGAACTATTGATAGATGCAGTAATGGGGATAAATCTAGAAACTGTTTTGCTGAGTGAAAGGGGCCAGGCAAAAAAGTATTAATACATTTTAGATGATTCGATTGTATAAAAGCTTATAAAATGAAAATTAATAGTTTCATGAAGCACATTCATAATTGTTTCAGGGATGAGAGACTGGAATGAGCTGGATTGAGGGATTACAAAGGAAAATTGGTTGTAATGGATGTGTTCACTCCCCTGACTGTGTTGATGGTTTTATATATATATATATATCAAAACAATTGTACAGTTTAAATTATATGTAGCTTTTTGTATGTCAGTTGTACCTCAATAAAACTATTTTCCAAAAATGTTATGGTAGGTTTTGTAGGAGAAAGATGTCAAGAGAAAAAAGGAAACAAAGATTGAGAAACAAAGAATTAGACCCAAGAGAAGGAAGGAGAATCCCTTATAGGAGCATGTAGAGACCTAAGTCTTATGGTTAGGTACTGCAAGATAGAATGATATTCTTATTCTCTTTTAGAAGGTATTTATTAATTTATTAATTTATTTATTTATTTGGGGGAATAGGTGAACAACCAGTTCAGAATTTCTATTATTCTATTGATTCATTTCCTTTCCTCTCATTTTCCAGTCTTGCTGAATAATTTTCTTAAAACATCCACTTCCAACACTGGAGAGGAATGTAATCTTATTTCTAATTGACTATTTCTAATATGACATATGTCCAATCTACTATGACTAATGTAATAGTCAAAGGCAGTGTTTTACCTATTCAGCACTGTTGTTTCTAGTTGGAGAGGGTTTTTTATTCCTTGAAGGTCCTAATGTCTCCTGTTCTTAATTGAAAAATACGAAGTTTCTTGATAGGGTATGAGGGAGTCATTTAGCTTACCTTGGTTTATAAGCAGTCTCAGTTTTCTTAGATTAAGGAATAATTATCCAACTTATTTCTATCAGATTTTCCCTAGCTAGCTTCTCACCACTGAAAATTTTAAAGTTGCTCAAGAGAAAATGTATTTTTGTATAAAAATACAGCAGCATCAATTACAATAGTAAAAACCCTGTAAATTCACTAAGTATTTCACATTAAGAAAATCACTATATATTTGATTAAGTGTTATGTATCTCTTAAAATTGATTATTGTGAAGACTACATAGCAACATAGATTAGTATGTACAAAATTATATGGAAAGAATAGAACACGAAATTTTATATAAGCTATGATTACAACTAGGTAAATATACAAAAGAATAAAGTTAAAATTCAACATAGATAAGTGAAAATAGCTGCATTAGCATGGTGAATTATGGGTATTCTCTTTTAAGTTTTTTATCATTGTTGTTTTCATAACTTTTAAAATAGACGTTAAGTTTTCTCGGGTGGTTCACTACACTCTCAGACTCTTCATTCTATGTGAAATTTCTAATGTGTAGAAAAAAAAGAATATTGATTGCCATTTTATCTAAAATTTATATTGACTAAGACTGATAATAAAATGCACTTAGAACTCAATATAAAGGATATTGTGTTTTGGTTGCCTTAAGAAGACAGCAGTAACATCTTTATTTGTTTCTAGAGGTGACTTGGGAAAGGTAGGGTAAAGACGTCACTGTGATTTTGTTGTTTCTTTTTAAACTTTAGGTCCAAAATTATACTGATGCCCTACACTGGTACTATTATTCTCTGAGGTTTTATTCACCTAGTGAAATGGATGTGGACTTCGCCAAGCTGCAGAGGAACATGGCTTGCTGTTACCTGAATTTGCAACAATTTGATAAGGTCCTTTGATTTATCTATTTTCAGAGGTAGCAAATGTTCTTATATGCAGTGACAGAGGGATAGATGTCATGCTGTGTCGTCTTGGCTGTTAGCTTAGGATGTCTGAGAGTTCCTTCATCTAGAACAAGCTCAAATTGACATTTTCTTGATTTCCACACTGTAAACATTGAGTGAAACTTCCCAAAGAAAAGGAGAATTTGGAATACCATTAAGTCTATTACTTACCCCTTGTTTTTCACCCTCTATTCTGAATGGTAATATATCATTGGAACTCCTCAACAAAGTTATCTGATACTAACCATTTGTAATATTCTTTCCAGCAAACTAAATTTTAAAGTACACATTCTTGTCAGGCATTCATTGAAAGCAAATACTTGGATGACGTGGCCATTCTTTCACTTTCTGGGTTGTTATTTCTTGCCTTTCCAACCACCCTAGAAAATGTTCTTTAACTGATTTCTTATCAGGACAAAATTCTAGAAGGTAAAGAAGATAAAAGCATGTCTAAAGATAGAATGTAAATACTTTCCAAAGCAATTAGGACATTGCTTCCTTTGGGTATCATATGGTATGCACATAATAAGGGGTATTGGCTCTTGGAAGGACAAAGAACTAGAAAGACAAGTGTGGACCCAAATGAAATATGAAGGTTTTTGTTGCCTTTCAAGTTTTAATGACAGGTCTAACCTTCGTTCACATAGGTGATTAAGGGTAGTGATTCCAGATATTTTCTTTGAAGGTTTATTTATATTTGAAGGATTGTTTATCTGACTTAAACACTTTAGATTTTCTTTCAAGAAAATATTTGCTATTTAGTTCATGTATTATACATTCACAGTCCTGGAAGAGAACTTGAAATGTTACTTAATTAATCATAGTGTTTCACAGGCTAGCATTTAACTGATTCAGAAAATAGTTACCTACAGTTTAAGACCTAAAAGGAAGATGATCATGTAGATTTTGTTACCTAATTCTGCACAGGGTAGCACTATTTCAGAAAGGTAGTTGTCTACTGTTTACTTAAAGACTAGTAAAGAAGGTAGTTGCCTACTGTTTACTTAAAGACCAGTAAAGAAGGCAATCACAGAGCTTTTATAATTTCCATGATTTATGACACAGTGGGCCAGGCAGCTTGGGAAGGACCTATATCTGGATGTAGACATGCTAGTTGAGGAATGTGTGCATCTGCAGGCCAAGGAAGTGTATCTAATGAACCATCAGGAAAGAAAGACACAGTACCAGACTTTGTGCTAGGGTCTGAGGTTACAGAGATGAACAAGGTATATATAGTTGCCTTCGACTCACCCAAGCAGCTGGCATCAGGGTATCCTAAAGGGGAGATAAGCAAAGCATGGCAATGAGAGAAATCTAAGTGTTGTAAATATTCTGTAAGTCAGGCAAGCAGGTGGTTGGCATCACATAAGCATAACCACAGGGAACAGGGTTTCAACCACAGAGATTTGGAGTCTAAGACAGTATACAAATCTTTGAGGAATGGGAGTGTGTGCAGACAGATTAAAAGGAGCAAGGTAGATCTCCAAACTTAAAGGGACTAGGATATCAAGGTGTTTTTAAGAGCAGAGCCCCTACATAGGGAGCCAGACTGAGAAGCAGTGACCAGAAGAGGAATACAAGTTGACTAGATACAGTTTTCTGAGACTTGAAGCAGTGCTTCTTAAATCTCTTCTAATGTCAAGTTTGGTCCTAGAGCCTAGTATAGGGCTGAGTTTATAATTAGGAATTCAAATGGTAGTAATAGTGATGTTAGGAAGAATAGGAGAACAATAAAACAGGCATATTTTAATGGTGTGTATTCAATATGTAACCGTATCATTTATGGCCAGATTAGTGGTGAAGCCAAAGGATACTTTGAATATGTTCATAACTTTGTTGATTGCTGTTAGTATATTTCTCCATTTCATCCTGTCTTGAATTTAGCAGACTTTAATTGGATACCCTCCATATGCAGTGAATACTCTCTTATGCACAAGGACAGACAGAAAGGTGAAAAAAATACACAATCCATCATATTCTAATTATCCCACCTTGCCAGTGTCTAACCTTTGTTAACTTTCATTGTCTGCTTTCTTCATTCCTACAGTGGTAATTTTAAAACATTTTTTTTCTGTCCTTAAGCACTCATGCTTTCTCTTTTGTTTTAGCAAAAGACCTTATTGTGTAATTTACTGAGCTTATATCCACTGACGTGAACTTCATCAATTTCTCTCCTCTTCACTCATCCTTTCTTTTCTCATTCCTCTGAGAAAGAAATAACTTCCTCTGGAGACCTTAGTCTACAGATCTCAACCCTAGCTGTTTAATCATTCTCTGCTGTTTCTTTCTCCTGTCATTATAATTACCTTCAAGGCTTCCTTATCCAAAAACCTTCCTTCACCTTTGTGATCCTCCTCAAACTTCAGTTCTCCCTGTCCTCCTTTTTGTTGCCAAGTAAAAGTGCTTCTGTCTATATTTTCTAGTGTTCATTCATTCAAAAATATTTACTTATTGTCTCCTGTTCTAGGCATTGAGGATATAGTAATGAATAAATATATGAAAACTCTTATCCACATGGACAAAAACTGCTGTCCCCATTATTTCCATTAGGAGAGGCAAACAATAAAAAGATAAATAAGTATTATGCTATATCATAGGGGTCAACAAACTTTCTGTAAAGAACCACAGTAAATATTTTAGGTTTTGCAGGCCATACAGTCTGTGTTGAAACTAATCAACTCTACTATTATGTGCCTTGAAAGCAGCCATAGACAATATGTAAGCAAATTGGTGTGGCTCTGTTTCAATAAAACTGCATTTTGGAACACTAAAATTTGAATTTTATGTTATTTTCATGTATCATAAAATATAATTCTTTTATTTCAGTCACTTAAAAATGTAAAATTGTTCTTAACTTATGAATTGTACAAAAAATATGGTGGACCAGATTTTGCCCAAAGGCTATAGTTTGTTGACTTCTGGTATACTAAATATTGGTAAGTGCTAAGGAGAAAACTAAGCAGGAAAGGGTGATATTAAATGTTTTGGAGGAGGTTGAATAGTTGAAATTTTCGATAGGGTGGTCAAGGAAGTCCTCACTGGGAAGATTGTTTTTAAGTAGAAACCTGAAGAAAAAGAGCATCCCAGACAGAGGGAATAACAAGTGCAAATTCCCTAGGGTATTTAAACAATGGCAAAGAGATAATTGTGACTGGAGTGGCAGGAACATTGGGAGAATTAGGAGATGTGACCAGGAAAGTAGTGGTGTCTTAGTCTGTTTCCTATTGCTATAACAGCATACCTAAGACTGAGTAATTTATAAAGAAAATGGGTTTATTTAGCTTATGATTCTGCAGGTTGGGAAGTTCAAGGGCCATGGTACTGGATTTGCTTGGCTTCTGGTGAGGGCTTTTGTGCTTGGTCAAAATGTAGCAGGAAGTCAAAGGGAAGTAGACTCATGCCAGGAGACATAATCCAAGGGGCTTCCTGGCTTTGTAACAACTTACTTTCATGGAAACTTTGTTTTATTTCCTTTTATACTATGTTCATCCTCAGCTGGAGTACTTGCTGCTTTGTACCCATGATCTATGCTTTCTACCTCAGTATCTTTTTTCATGCTTCTTCGTTGCAAATTACCTGTTTTTTTTTTTTTATTTGCATCCCTACATTTTAAAATTCCCTTCTTCAAAGCCTAGGTCTTAATGGCATTCTTAGCTTCCTGAGGAAATTTCCTTGTCTTGCCTTTCCTCTCCTCCAAGACCTTGTAACAGTTCTGTTTATCCCTAGATAGTTATTTTCTGCATTGTATTTTAGTTGCTTCTATACCTGTCGTATTCATCTATTAGACTGCCACCTCCTTCAGGACAGAGACCATACGTTATCTTTATTTGCCCTTGTACCCAGCATAGTGCCTAATGCATAGTAGATGCTCATTAGATTTAAAACAGTTATAGAAATTCAATAAATACCTATCAATGAACTTCCTCTGATATAGGAATTTTGTTTCCTCATGCTATTTCTCTCCTTGCTTCATGCATAATTGGAAATTAATAGTGATTAAAATCTATGAGTTCTCTTTGATTATCAGAACTGAATGAGAGTATATTATTAAAAAATCATCCCACTATAACTTTCTCCAGCTCAGCTCTTTTCTCTTTTGAGTGTGTGGAGGACAGTTATGTCTCATGTACTGGTTATATCTTGTTTCTCTTTACCATATAAAGTTTGAAAAATCATGCCCTCTGTTACAGGACTGAATGTAAGCTTGTGATCAGCAGATGTAAACTAGTTATACTCACTAGATGGCACTGTGGCTTCTGTTTGTACTTCATCTGCTTGTGATCCACTGATGTTGAGGTTATTTTGTAGTTCTTAGGTAGATAGATGTACCTTTCCCACAAATGCATCTATATGGATGTAAAAAAAAAAAAGCACTAAAGAAACATAAGATGAAGGTTAGCTGTGACACATTTGATGCAGCTATACTGTAAAAATACCCTAATTGAGATTTCAAGTCAACAAATATTGAATGCCTAATCTGTGCCAAGCACTATAGAATAAGTAGAAGACATGATCTCTTCTATAGATGAGCCTAAAATATTAATGCAGAAACAATATTTACATATAGAAAATAATTAGCAAGTAATAAAAGACTGTACAATCAAGCATCATTGTATGGTATATACCATATGAACTTAGAATAGGAATATATAGATGAGGGTTTTTGTGACTATTGATTTAATGTACATATGATGTGAAGCTAAAAAGAGTAACTGATTTGTTAGATAGAGTCATACCTGGGCCGGACATGGTGGCTCTCTCCTGTAATCCTAGCACTTTAGGAGGCCGAGGCGGGAGGATCACAAAGTGAGGAGTTTGAGACCAGCCAGCCTGGCCAATATGATGAAACCTCATCTCTACTAAAAATACAAAAATTAGTTGGGCATGGAGTCCCAACTACTCAGGAGGCTGAGGCAGAAGAATCTCTTGAATCTGGGTGGTGGAGG